GGAAAAATGTGATTTGAATAAACAAAGTATCAATCAATGTCCTTTTTTTTAAAAACAAAACACAAGCACTACGGGAAAATCCCTAAGGCGCTCTCAGAGCAGTGCCTGTGCGATTCACATTGGATTTGAATCGCTGAAGGTTAAATCCATTTGGAAAAACGTTTTCAGGAAGTAAAAGTGCATTTTTATCAAAAATCGTTGCTCCGTTCGATGTTTCCCACGAGTACTTTTATTCAGAAAATTGTCTAAGTAACCTGATTTTGTTGAAAAATATCTGTCATTTCAAAGTTTTGGGGTGTGGACCATCGGCGGTAGTCGGTTCCTGACTTTGTAGCACAACAGCCGACTTCTGCATGAAAGCTCATCAAAGCAATTCATTTGTTTAGTCAATCACCAAAATTTGGCTTATTTTGAATATTATCAAAGAAAAACATTCTTCATTGTGTTACTTTGAGGGCCCGTAACTTGGTAAAGAAGGATTTTAGGAACAAAAGTTATATGAACATCCAAGAGGTATATGTGGGGCTCAATAGAGGTGAAGTGGCTGCGGCAGTATTCTGTGACTTTTCTAAGCTTTTGATTGCGTTGATCACGGAGTGCTGTTGAAAAAATTGTTTCTTTATGAGTTCAAGGAACAACCCTAAATTGTTTTCAATCTTATCTTTCGAACATAATTCAAATGGTAGAGTTACAGAACAACATTCTAGTCTGTCGAAAATAACTTGTGGAGTTCCCCAAGGATCAGTGCTCGGCCCCATTATCTATGTGAATGACTTATCTAATATCGATATACAAGGAAAGTTTACAATGTTTGCAGACGATGAAACCTCACTATGGCATGGAAATGATACAGACTCTCTGAAAAATATAATTGAGGCTGATTTAGAAAAAGGGCGATAAGATATATATCTAGAGCCAAGCGTTTGGACTACTGTAGACCACTGTTCATAAAGAGTAGAATACTAACAATCTACTGCATCTTCATTCTAGAAACAGTATGTCTAATTTAAAATAAGAAAAAATAATTTTCCTTCAGAAAGAATATATAACACCCGGCAAAATGCCAATATACCTCTGCCAAAACCAACTTCAACATTAACCAAAAATTCCATAATATTTGAGAGTCGGAAGATATTCAATCATCTACCATTTGAAATGAAAAGTATTACAGTCTAATAAACATTCCGAAAACGTGTGAAGGAACTTTTACTCACGAAAGCATATTATAGCTTAGAAGAATATCTTGAAGACAGATTGTGAGTACCTGACCTTTGAAGTTGAATAGACTGATTTATTTTATTTATACATGTAAATCAATTCCTAACTGCTTTGTAGAATATTATGTTCTATCTAAATGTAAGCGTTAGACCCTGTATGGTTTCATTTTTACTTCAATTAGTTTATTTTATTTATTTATGCTTTGTAAAAAAAAAATTTTGGACAATAAAGTACATTTTGAATTGAACTGAATTGAAAAAAAAAAGTACTGGTGATATTTTGACCCCATCTATACATTCCCGAAAGGAAAAGAGTAATTCCAGGGACACCCTGTATACAATACACACATATATATGCCATACACTCACATACATAATAATTGAGATCTGAGTTTGGTTGGGGTAATGTTGAAGATATAAATATCAGTGTTTTCAACTAGTTCATTAGTAGTTATGAAAAAGTTTTCAATAGGGAAATTTATGTTGAAGTTGTGAAATGTGCAACCTCTTCATCTCAGGCGAATATTTGGTACGCTGAAATTGATAGAGGCAAGTGAATCGGCGAGAAAAATGTTGTTTAGTAATAAGTTGAATATGAATAATACTTCAAAATTTTCTCTACGTTTTTTGAGGGTTTCCAAATTGAAATAGTTCAATTATCGTTTGTATATCAGGAACGGATATATTCCATATTTTTTTAGATACGTTGGTCTGAGATATCGTTTTTGCAGTTTTTATAGTAAACATGTGTCAATGATTGGGGTGACCATATAACACGAGTGTACTCCAGTTTAGAATAAATTCAAGAATCAAAAAGTACTTTATACGTATTATAATACTCATAAATAAAGTAATGGCAAGTTATGAGGATGAAACCAAGTCTTCTGAAACATTATGCTTGTAATAGTTCAGAATGTGTACTGAAGTTGAAGTTTGAAGTAAAAACTATACCTGGATCTTTGATTCCACTGACTCTTTCAATAGGAATATTTTCAATATTATATGTTCGCTTGAAGGGGTTTCTTTTTCTGGTGAAGGTTAGCATTTTACACTTGGATATATTTAACACCAACTAATTATCTTTGCAAAAAACAGAAATAGAATTAAATTCATTTTGAAATAAACTGATATCTTCAAATGATTCAATGAACCTGTAAATTTTCACTATAATACAAATTTTGAATACTGTATGTGATCAGATATATCATTGACAAACATAACAAAGAGCAAAGGACCAAGTATTGATTCTTGTGGTACCCCAGAGGAAATTATGAAGGTAAGTGATTTTCTTTCATTGAATTTCGCAAAATTCCCACATTAGAAAGATATGATTTCAATAAAGATGATGCATTTTTTGAAAAAGAATATTCCTGTAATTTCCTTATCCAGATATTAAGGTTTACTATCAATGGTATCAGACCTATAATGAATTATAAATTTTACTGAATTGTTTTTAAAACACACTCTTGATAACTAACACCATTATACACCTTAATTTGAATTCACTTTGATGTAGACACTGGAAAGAAAACTTTCTTTAGCTGAGTTTACAGTCGGAATTCATGAATCGTCAGTTTCATAAAAACTACAATTGGTGTGTAGTAGTATATAAATTACATGGAAGAGCGTACTGCATATTACCTGTCTTCTCTGTATTTCTGTTTCTGCCTGCAATAAATCAGCAAGACCTTCCACTTCAGTCAAATCAAGTTTTGCATTGAAAAATGCCCTTCGGGTGAATTCACCCGGTTCTGCAAGCCTCACTTGTGGAATAGATCCCAAAGCATTCAAAATTCCATTAACAACTGCTAATCCACCATGAACTTGCAACTCGAAACTATCTTCACCCGTGAAACTTTTGGGGCCTTGAAATATCGAAGAAAAAATATTTGGAGATACAGTAAATATCTCTAATGAAAACACTTTTCTAAGGATGCGAGATGGAGAGATTTCATTATCATTTGACATTTCTTGTTCGATATTCCTATATAATGAAGATGATCAAATATGTGAAGTATATTTTGAAATAGTAAAGTGAAATGGTGAAATAGTTGGCCCATACAAATTTGCATGCGACAGAGTTGTAGCAAACGCCAAACGTGATGGCGAGACCGCCCTTATGCGAACAAACTGATTTTCAATGTAACCCCCACTATAGCTCTTGCAAGACATACAACAGATCTGTACAGAGGCGTATCATTACTTGTCCTCCAATGCTGTTGGTGTTTAGCATTGTCTGAATAATTTGTGTTTCTGCAAAAATGTTATCGCCTAACAAAAAACCAGTCATCAAGAATCAGGATAAGTGTATCATTATATAACATTTTAATGAACTGTACTACTACCTATAATGCGTCCAACTGTCAACTACGAACTGCCTTATAAAGTACTGTTCCCGAGTAGAGAGAACTGGATCCTCCGGGAGAAGGAATTATTAAGAGCAGATAATTGTTGGTTCACAGATGGATCAAAAACACCTTCCGGTTCTGGTGTTTTCAGTCGCAGACGTAGGACAGAGATATCAACCTGCCTAGGAACCTATACGACTGTATTTCAAACGGAAATTTACGCTATTGAATTGTATGCGGATAGATTGGAAGACTCCAACCTCATACACAAGTCAATAAAAATATTCTCAGACAGTCAAGCGGCGTTGGAAGCTCTTGGTTCCTACCAAGCATCGTCTAAATTGGTATCAAATTGCCAAAAACGACTCTCCTCAATAGGAAAACTTAACAGATTGTCTCTGGTCTGAATTCCTGGCCATACTGGCCAGGGGGAATGTCTATACTTGCGCGATCGCTCGCCATCACGTTTGGAGCTTGCTGAACTTTGTTTCTACAGACATCACGAGGGTATGGAAATTCCCTCTTCATTTGAGTAATTCCAGGATGTCCTGCTGATGAGACATGTCAATAAGGGTTTCAGCATTTGATATATAGAGACAATACTAGAACTTTCGGTTATATCTGTGACAGCCCCAACATTAAATGTATGGGCTAAAAATTAGAGTGATTTCATAACTCCTCGACTTTTAAAAATTCTAGTACACTTCAATAACGGTTCAACAACCCTAAAAACATGACGAAAGAAAAAATTCTGTAATAAGCTCGGAGATTGTGACGAAAAATTTGTTGATTAAAAACCACTATAATATTTCTCATATCGGGGTTTGTAGATCAGGGAAGTGTAGTGAAAGGGCACAGAATAAATTAGAAATGCTTGAAATTGTTGAATGACAACAGGTTTTTAAAACAGATTTGAATATTTAAAAATTGAAAAAATGGAGTGAGATCTATTGATATGACAAAAAGGTCCCATTTAAAAAAGTATGTACACTATTTTACATAATAATTATTCAACAAGTAGCAATTTGGCAACTTCTAGGTATCATATGAAGTTGTTATTAAGATACAATAACAAACTAAAAAATAGGACCCTCATTATGAAGTGAAATTTTATTTGGATGAATATAATGCCATAACATAATCATCTCCTGATGCTCACTTAGTTGGCGAAATGTGTGTCAAGAGACAGTGTTTTAGTTCTGGAATGGGAAGTGTTTTCATTAGAATGACTTTAAACAGAGGTTCCAGCTTTTCAAGCTGATAATCTCACCCGGGAACCATAAAACCAGTCCTTTATCCAAAGTTTCTTTAGTTGTAGGATGTTTTATATGTTTTAAAACAGCAGTTCTTGGTTTGGGTAAAGTATCCGAGTTTAATACCAGTTTCAATGCTTCCCTTGCACTGCTGCCAGACACTCGAATAACTGCGACTCCACATTTTCCTTGACCTGAAAGGTAGATTTTGAAAAAATGTTTGTCTTGTTCCATGAAATATTGAAACAGTTTTATTGTAATATCCCTGATGGGTATGATAAAGTTTGAAAAAACTGTTCTTAGTAGTGAGAGAAATAAACTTACAATTTATAACCCATCCAGTTTTTCAAGAAAGGTTATAAACCCCTTTAATGACACAAAAATACTCCAGAACTCATATCCTTGTAGACTGTGCATTATCATAATATAACTATTTTGAGCATAACTGGTATGATGCAATTTTTTACTAAAAAGACTTAGTAATTGTTGTGACTGGACCAATATTCACTAATTTGTGTAAAAATATCAGTTCCTTGTTTTGTCTACGAGTTTCTAGAGTAAAGTAGTGAAGTGAAATCATTCAGAGGATAAACAGAAGTACATGTAAAAAAAATACTCAATTGACATGAACGTGGACAGTACAGTAGACTGGAGCTGAATATAATGATTTTCAAAATGATCATCCTATAATCACCCAGTAGAATTTTTTTGGAAATACCTACCTGATGACAGAGCAAACACCGTTTGTGAGGAGCTCGAACGACATAGCGTTGGTGTAAATTTTTTCCATATTCTGCAGAACTTCAACATAGTAAACTTTTTTTATTATTATTTTTAAGTGATCTTAACCTCACAAATAAGTAGAGTTTTACTGTCCGAGGTTTTTCGAAATTTCGGGTTTCTAACAGTGGACGATACATTCAGTTTCAATACATTTTATTTCGTATGATTTTTCTTCTCTTCGAATTTTTTGGTAGGACTTATAGAACCCGGATTTGTTTGTGTATAATGTTTATTGACTTTATATTTGTTAGGTTAGGTTATTGTTTTTTGAATAAGTTAAATGCACAATTTGAGACAGTGTTGAGAATACTTTATATATAGGTGGTTTGAATAGGTTACTGAGAGACCAATTTGTATTTGTAGGTAGCGAGAGTGGCTTTTTAGACGATAGTGCACTGATTTTTTTATCCAAAAAAACGGGGGATTATCACGAAGACATGGACGCCCAACGCTTTGAAGGATGGTTTGAATCCCTTCTTTCACGAGTCGAGCGAAGTTCGGTAATAGTAATGGATAACGCTTCTTATCACAGCCGATTAGTAGAACAGCTGCCAATTATGACTACCAGAAAAGCAGACATGCAGAGTTGGTTAGGAGTTAGGACAAAAAGGAATTCCATTTTTCGAGGACATGGTTAAGGCCGAGCTTATGAGTTTCATTAAACAGCATCGTGACAGATATCGCCAGCATGTGGTGGATACAATGGCTCGTGCTGAAGGCATTACCATTTTGAGACTTCCCCCTTACCATTGCGAGTTAAACCCGATATAATTAATCTGGGCTCAAATTAAGGGTTACGTAGCTCGTGAAAACGTGACATAAAATTTCTGATGTTCAACGTTTATTAGAACTCCTAATGGAACGGATACGGAAAGAAGATTGGGCTAATGCTGTAGCCCATGCGATCAAGGAAGAAGAGAAAATGTGGAGATTGGACGGGATGGTAGACACTGTTATCGACCAAATACTAATAGATTTAAGTGTGACTGGAGATTCCTCTTCGGACAAGTCAATAACTTCTGAAACTTCATAAGCATAACATAGGTAATTATTTCTTTGCAGTTCTCTTTCTATATAAAAGGAACATAATAATTATTTTGTAAATTTTTCTGTTTTTTTGAAGTACCTGTATTGGCATAATAAGAAAATGTAATCAATTTTACCATTGACATCAGGTAGCGCCACCTACTATAACAATTTTTACGTAATTACCTATGTGATTAACTAAATAAAAATATTATTTTGGTACGCCTCTGCAGAGTTGGTAAGAGGATTATCCGTTGGTCACTTCAAGTGTGATGTTGCTAATGAATCGCCTTCAATTGAAAATTGTTATAGTATAGTATGGGCACTTTTTGAGTGATCTTAACGTCACAAATAAGGAAATAAGTAGAGTGATACTGTCCGAGGTTTTTCGAAATTTCAGATTTCAAACGGTGGTCAAGAAAATTTACTTGCTATTTCATTCATCGTATTATCATAGACTATATACTTCGGACAGCAAAACTAGATCAGAAAGCTTGACATCTGCAAGAGTCCAAATATTATGGATAAACAATTATTTTATTATTAGGAACCTTTAGCCTAATCCTAAAAAGTTTGTTTTTGGTAAGCAGAGTTGCATCAATCCTTACACATATGTTGATTGTAACTTTGGCTATTTTCAAAAAAACACCAGTGTGAGATTTCCACTTGACAGTTTACAAAACCGCGACCCGATACCATGACGCCTAAAGATGATATTGTATAGCGAAACACGTGTCGTGATTTTGTAAATTGTCAATTGGAAATCTCACGATGAAATGTTTATTGAATACGTTTTAATGGATTTTCATCAAGTATCGGTCAGTTCTATTATAATTCTTACCCAATTGACAGTTCCAAAAGTTGATCATGCTTGTTTATCTCACATTGAATGTTGATCAAAGTTTTTTCATTAGATCATTTTGTTTAAGTGTTCATTATTATATAGGCAAGCAAGGGGGCGCGCCATAATTGGATCTCCCTCCATCCTAAAACTTGCCTCGGGCCAACAGTGCACATTTACTCACTTCAAATGGTGACGTTTCTGACACTCACTTCTGTCGTTGAAGTATAAGCAGCGGGTTCAATTGAAATTCTTACTTTATATAGCTTTTATACAAAGGGTTATAATGAAATTCTAATGAAATCTGTAACAAATGCTAACACATATTTTATTTAACTGATATTTTCAAACAAAAATGAACTTGAATAAAATAATCAACTCTTGTAGGTACATAAACTTCTAATCTGCAAAATTGACAAATTGTCACAGTTTTAATTTTCCTACCAATATATATGTGCTATTTGTGGATAATCACAAAACAGTTTATTTTTACTAATATTGTCAAACAAAACATAAACTCAAACAGAATAATCAACTCTTGAAGAACAAACTTTTAACATGTACTAACCAGTTATTTCAGATTAACTTTTTTTAACTTACAGAATAATCAACTCTTGAAGAACAAACTTTTAACATGTACTAACCAGTTATTTCAGATTCACTTTTTTTCAACTATGCATTCTGAACTTAGAACTATGATAAAAATTAAATGAAAAACTGATAAGACTGTTTTGGCATGGAACAGATGAATGTATCTAATCTTTTATAATACTACTTTGATATATTATTGGATATATCGACTAAGTTATTTTATTTTTTGCAATGTCCTTTCTGTTTTGGGTTCCTCCTGTAATGGCTGATACTGATTGACTATTTCTCTCGAATTTGACAAATTATTACTGGAACTGCTACCTTCTTCAATGTTTTCTTTGCCAATATTTATCAGAGTATTGGCAACAGCATGAATATGTTTGCACAACTTAAAATTTGTTGAGTAATCAGGACAGTCACAAGAAAAAATACATATTTTGCATTTCAAACAAAATGATTTGCAATTTTTCAAGTGACAACTATTACAGTTCCTTCTGACAGAATAATGTGCATCTTGTCCAGTTCAAGATAGAACCTGCCAAATATTTTGTTTTACACTTACTACAGCATCAAGTCCAAGCCGAGATCCATTTAAATGTCAAAAATCTAACGAACTGTTTTGGTTAGTATTGCAGACATCGTTGTTATTATCATCATATCATCATATTTATTATATACGGCATGAATATGTTTACACAAGTTTGAATGTGCCAAATGGGCAACTGCATGAATATGAATGAATACAAATAAGACAGGGAAAACAGTAAATCCTGCACTATTGAGCTACATGTAATAAACTTTTTTATATTATCAGTCGTTTGAGATACCAAACATTCTGACCAACAAAAACTATGCCTTTCCATGAAATTTGAGGACCTCTAAAATGACGTATTTTAATTCTATTAGGTTTCACCCTAAAACTTATCGTCATCTTCTGAACCATCACTATTACTGTTACAGGTAAAGGTCTCACAGTCTTCAGAACGTTTTAGTACCTATTGTATGAATTTGCTTGCATGAATTTAAATTGTTAGAATAATCTGGACAGGTACAGGAATAGATGTAAGAATAGGCATCATTTTTGTGGATAATATAATGTTCATCAGGTAGCATTTGCGATTTCACATGCCAAAGATTTTCTTGCAATTGTCAAATATCACTTCGCTGAATACTTCCACCTCTTGAATGACGACTTCTCATCATTCTTTGCTTTCGATAAGGTATTGTTTAGGCTGTATTACTTTTCAAACTGAACGGAAAATTGAAATTTGCCAAATACTTTTTTTTAACACTGGCAAACATCGGCGATGTGATTCACGAATGGATGATTTCGATTTTAAAACTATTTTCCCGCCAAGACAATAAAGGAACATTACGTTCCGTTTTTCAACATGGATTAACCAATGGGTTCACCAAAGTCAAGTCAAAAATGTTTATTGGTTCTTAATAAAATTTACAAAATATTGTGATGTGTATTGTGTTGTGTGGGGCCCTGCTATAGGCTTATGCCTCTTCACCAAAGTCGTAACTGGTTATCAGATATACTGTAAAATTGGGTGGTTATAGCGAAATATGCTTCAACGTGATCTTTATAATAGTTCTGAGTAAAAATTACCACCCAAACACTTACATTTTGTATATCTTCCACTCTTTATATGGCCGTTGCATCTCATTAGAGCGCATTCGGCCAGACTCCTCCTGTCCATAGTGAACGATGTTCTAAGGAACAGAAGTTTCTTCCGGGGGTGCAGTGGTCTTGCAATGCTGCCAACCTAAAGTTTTTCATTCACTTTTTCTTTTNATGCTGCCAACCTAAACTTTTTCATTCACTTTTTCTTTTAACAAAAATACTTTATTTTTACTGATTGCCTCCTTCTCAAAAGGCCTTTGGATGGACCTCATCAAATCCGTCAACTTTCAGTCTGGTTATTGGCGTAGGGGGGCGCCAGTCCCCTCAATTCGTCTTTCACTTCAATATTTATATGATCGTGACGTTATTTTGAATAACACCTCTTTTTTGAATCCCACTCCGATCACAACATCCACGTGCCATCTTTGAGGGCGGTCGTTATCGGCACAATCGTCCTCTATTGCGATGGAAGAGGAAGTCTAAATAATATAACAGTAATTACAATCCCATCAAGAACAGCGTAATCCAATGTTTATTTAACACGATATGGTTATTTGAAAAAGGATGAATTCATGAAAGATATCAATACTAGTTTCTCTAGTATGGAGTGTTCTTTAATTAAAGCGTTTGCAGAAGTCATCTAGGAATTGTGGTCAGTGGATTTATTTGATAGAGAAGTAAATACAGACTCCTTAAAAAAATCAGTTTCAAAGTTTTGCCCTTCGATACATGGGTTATGCCCATCATGAAGCCCAGGAGTTCCTTCGTTATATTTTAGAAGGTTTACATGAAAACGTTAATAGAATTAATGAGAAACCTGAACCGATCTTAACGGAAATTAACGAAAAATTGAGCGGCAACGGAAAAGCACAAGAGACATGGCTCACATATTTGAAGATGCATAACTCGAAGATATTGTTGATAATTTCGTTGGTTAAAATCCACGATGAAATGCGCACATTGTGGACAGTTATCAGTAACCTTTGATCCTTTCTAGGATTTGTTTCTCCCCATACCACAAACTGACCAATTAAGTTTGTCGCAATGCTTGGATTCATTCACAAGAAAAGAAACTTTGAATGGAAATGAAAAACCGACGTATTCGAGATGCAAGGAAAGAATAAAATGCATAAAGTCCCTATAAATCCATAATTTTTCCCGTTTTTTAGTAATTCATTTGAAAAGATTCTCTCCAACGGAAAGATTTAAAGACAAATTGAATGTGTCAACAAATTTTCTCTAGAAGAGAAGGATTGGACATGAGACAATGTGGCTACTTGCCGTTATAATCTATATGCATTTTCGCATCACAGTGGGGCAACTTACAGCGGGCATTACACAGCATACTGCGCAGATACCATTATACTGTCTTGTGGCACAAATACAACGATTCATACGTGTTAACAAAATCGCTTGTGTGTAAAGAAACACGTCCTCTTTTATAAAACGGATGAAACGAAATCGCACCTTGGAGATAACTAAGAGGATGTTTATGCTCCTGTTCCAATATTTTTTATATTTATATTCAAATATGTAATTGTGTACTTGATAAGTTGAACTTATATTGTTTCATTATACTTATCATATTATATTACCTGAATAAAATTTGTATCCCATCACATATACATAATAACTAGTGATTCGAAAAGGTGTTCAGTGAGCCAGTGTGATAGGTATAATATGTTGAAAACTATGCCAATGCAAAACTTTTCTGAAGATACGGAACTAACAAAAATTATAATCTCTGTATATAGTCTATATACAAAGGTATAATTGAACATTGAATACTCATTATAACCACAGAATGGAGATACCACTGTCACACTCATTTCGTAAGGAGAGTATTTCAACATAGAACTTTGTAGGCCCAGACTATATAAACACATAATTATAACCCTGATCGTGCCCCACATTAGACTATCTGCCAAATAACGGATCATTACCGCCAACAATTCTTCTACAACAGATACTTTATGAGATTTTTTCAATAACAAACATAATATTACGTGGAAATTTCAACAGAAAATGTCACTTTTTCTCTTTCTCTAAATTTTTGCAGTCACCTTGCGGCAATTGTCCATTCGAATAAATGTAGTAGAAGAATAGGCAAGTTCTTAAATTCACTAAAAAAAATCTGATATACACTTTTCCTCAACCATTGGAAATGCGTTTGGGGTGGACACATAAATGAATCCATTAGATCAATCCGCGGACTCTTCAACTCATCGGTGAATTTAAGAACTCGTCTAATAATGTTGATAATTTTGAGAGCACGTGGCAACCTGGCAACGCTGCATCAACTGTCTTTGAGAAATAACATTATTTATTTTTAAATTATTTTGCTCGTTGCAATTGTTTATTGAATATAATAAAGCCAATGAATACCCCTGCTATGTTTTATCACAGTATTTTCAGCGGCACGACAGAAACCCAAAATCAAACAATGTGGGAGAACTTTCCTCATGTAGTGAAATTAGAACCTGACTCCAGTGTAATAAAATACACATTATTTCTAATAATATAAGAGAATCAATTCTTTCAAAATTTTCAGATTGAATTTACGGAGCCTGAAATCTGTGAACCTATAGTGCCCAAGAAGGGGAAACAGCAACAATGTAAAGTGTGTGGTAAAATATTGTCTTCTACTTCGAGCTATTATGTACATTTAAAACTACATTCGCAGAACAAACCTTACTCATGTACAGTGTGCGATGCATCATTTTGTCGAAAACCGTACTTGGAGGTAAGAATATTTGAGGCGAACAGCTTTATAGATTAACTAATGTTAGGGTAATGCTAACCCTTCTGAAAAATAGAGTTCCAGATTAGCGTGCATTCATGTATAAATGCCACTGCAAATGTAACAAATGTGAAAGACGGTTATATTTTTTCTCTTGAGGAAGGAACTATTCATTATGGACGAATCAGAGCATGAAATCCGTGTTACAAGAAAAAATTTAACAAACCTACAACTACAGTTCAATGCTGATGGCTAATGTTGCATTGCTTAATCTAAAGAGTCAGCCTAAAGAGTTCTTTACTTTAGGTGAAGTAATAAGGCATGAGAAAAAAATCACCTATTTTCAGTGAGTATATTCACATACATGTCATAACAAATGTTGGCAATCATGATTTTTTACCACTTGTAACTTGCCACTCATGCCCTGTTCATGAATCTGCATTTTATTCAATGACAATGTATCTCAATCTCATCTGTTGGTATAAGAAAAAACTTTAAATTAAAGGTAGATGCATGCACCAGTTTTTGAGCTAGTAGTAAGAAGTTGAATCATTTATTGTCAATAGTAACTTTCACATATGTATTGTAATTTTAGTCATAACAAATATTGGCTAAATATTTCCTACAACCTGAAATTTGTAACTTGACACTTGTGTATGAATCCACCTTTGATAATTGTTCGTATTTCTCGCTCAGGCTTTTTTTTCGAGAAATTTCAATTAGACTTTCATATTTTTGTTTGCTGATCATGAATCTAATATCAAAACTTGGCACACCAGTCTAATTTTGGAAATACCACTCAAAACTCACTCAGATAATAAACACTTGTAAAATGACACCTTCTTTATCTGATGATTATAATATACTTTATTGTGCATGAAATAAATCGTAGTTACAAAGCTTGAGTGATACAATATAGTATACAATGTCAAATGAAGTAAAAAAAACAATACTGTATACAATTCTTGATAAAATTAACTGATTAAAGTAGTGAATGTATCAGAAGGAATCTTCAAAGTATTCTCCAAGATTATAATAGGCTTTCATATATTCAATAAGGGATTTCATATTGCCCACTGACTTAACAATGTCCGTACAAATTTCGATTTGTTGAACATTACATGAAATTCTAAATTCAAAGAATGAGAACTGCAGTGAATATACAAATATCGAGGAAATTACTTTTGGATGAATACTTGAACTGGTTTTTATCTAAATTTCAGAAAAGTTCTGATCCCTAAAACCCCACCTGTATACAGCCTTTCAAAAGTGCTACAATTTGACTGATAAAAAGTTGTACATACTTGATGAACCACATTGTATAGAGTGACGATCTCAGTCATCCAAAACAAGCATTTTTCCGATCACCACAAATGCAATACTCTTATCTTGAAGTGCGTTTCACCAATCAAGTTAGCGTCTTGTTTTCTTCATCTCCTGAAGACGCCAACTTGGTTGGTGAAACGTACGTCGAGAATGGTATTGCAGGTCTAGTGATTCGGAAAAGTGCTTGTTTTGGATTTATTCTACGCCAGTTTAACCTTTTATTTTGTTATCAGTTATGTTCACAAGTTGAAATTTATTCCCTTTGAGCCAAAAAAAGACAGCAACTTTTTTGGGGTCTTTTGTTTAGGCGCTTCCTATCTTCCATGACCCTGCCCGTAAATCAGGCTGAATTCGGCCGATAGCGTGGGTTATGTTGGCTTTGAGGACCGCTTTGGTTTGTGTCTTATTCGCATACACATGCGACTTGAAAAAACTCTATTAGGAAACGTACTCATTCATCTAGAAATGGGCCTCAGTGCTGAAGATGATTTTTCAATGAAAATTGGTGTCAGTTACTAACACGTCATTGTCTATAACCGTTTACCTTCAGTTCCTGGGTTAGTTGAATTGTCTTCGGGTGTAGGCCCAAATCACAAAATTCGTCAAGTTGTGGTCTGAGCAACGCCGAGTTCTTGTGAGCGACGCGAAATCGACTGCCTTGGATTCTCCAGCACACTCTCCCAGACAGCGGCTATGTTTTTGGTAGATCTTGCGTTTCGTCAACGTACGGGTGTTGGTCGGTTGTTTACTGAACCAGTGAACTTAGATTTATGCACCACATTGTGAATAGTTCTCCCAGTAGGACGATTATGCCGACCGTAAAATTGGCAATGCGCGCGGTACGTTGCCCGAACCCACTTTAATGAAACAATTTTGTTATTTGCACGTGTTTTTGAATGCAATATCCGTCCATAGTGATTTGGCAAAACACACTGAATAAATGACAACTAATTTGACAGATGTAGCTTCAAAAAGATGTCCGTTATCAATTGTCAAAGTTCGTAGTTCTTGTTGGAAGACCCTATATATTTCACAGTTTGATCTCTTGACAATGACGGTTATTATGAGAAAATTTATTTGTAATTTCTTCGAAATTTCACTTTCATAGAACACTCATCCTCAATAGCGAACATCAATGTTTCGAAACAGGATACTTGTTTTATTGCGTCTTCAACACCAATGTGGATAACATTACAAGATGAAATTCTCAATTAATTCATAAAATTATGACTTTGAGTTAAATTCATACGTGTAGTTCAATGTTTATTTGAAAGTAGTTGTTTCCAGAAGGTTTTATCTTCTAGTTCGTATCTGAAAATAACTTCCAATGCATGATCTACATATCTTTGTAGAGGGTTTATTTCGAAATTAACTGCCTTTTTGTATAATGATGGAGAAGTAAGAAGCCAAAAGTTTTTATAGTTTTTCTTACTATTCAACAACCAAAATAAATATTATTACTGTTACGAGGTGTCAGAAGCTGAGTAAAATTTTCACAATGTAATTATTATCATTAGCAGTAAAACTCAATTTTTACTATTTTAACATTGTAAACAAATCATAACAGAAATTGTAGTGAAGTGACAATATCATTTATAGAGCATTGCTTAAAAATGATTTATTTTTGTATGTATTTTATTATGTGACATTTTGAATGGAGAATAATGGATCGCGGTATGCAACCTTGAAAAAGACGTCATTTCATGAGTTTTTATTACCAAAAGAGAGATCCTGAAATTTACGATTATCCGACAGTTTCAGCTTTCGAGTGGCCACATCTTCCACTTTTGAAGAAGTCCAGAGTTATTATTTTCACTTCTCAAAGTTCATTTGTTATTTTTCAGGTGCACATGCGGACACACACAGGTGAAAAACCATTTGAATGTGATATCTGCCACAAACGTTTCACACAGAAGTCGAGCCTCAATACCCATAAAAGAAATCACACTGGACTGAAGCCATATGTGTGTCAAATATGTTTCAAAAGTTTTTCTATCAAATCGTATCTGGTAGCACACGAGTATAGTCATGCAGCTGCAAATGGCATACCATGTAATATATGTCAAACAAGGTTCAGCAGTCGAAGTGACTATACAACCCACATGGAATCTCACAAAACTAGGGAGTTTGAGTGTAAATACTGCCATAAGTTCTTTACCAAAGAGTCGTATCTCATTAGGCATAGGATCCGTGTTCACAATGATGATTGAATTTGTCAGGTATCCACCTGTTGGCAAGGGTTTGGATAACTACAGCAAGATGTTCGATGAAAGTGTCTCAGTTAGATTAATAAGAAATGTACATTTGTCGAAAAGAATCGAAATTCAGCATTCTTTTTTATATATTTTCATGTATTATTTACAAATAAATGTCATTTATATTCATTTATTGGAGAAACTTTCCGCTAATATCAACTACAGGCTTACATAAGTGAAATGAAAACTCATTAAACTCAAGAATCATGCTTTCTGAGTAGTTAAAAAGTGGAGAGTAAAAGACTTGCAGCTAAAAACTCTAATAAGAATACTGTTTTCTTTTGATGATTCTATTATAGACAGTCTCATTAAATGACATTTACTATTTATGATGAGTGATTTTTTGATATTTATTGCCTTAATATTGTTTATGCACAACTAGACTGAAATGTTGTATTTTTTTGTTTGAATGTGATTGACATGGTTTTTGTTGGTTGGAGTTGAAACTTTTATTAAAATATGCAGAATCTGACAATAGAGAAATGAATAAAATAATAAATAATGCCAATGACATATGTGTTTGTTATTCACCGTCACGTTCATTCTAAGATATCAGATATTTTTATGGATGACTTTCTATTTACTCCTGAGCCTTCAAAAATTAAGTCCAGGAGCCCTCCGAATTCTATACGAGGTAGTTCAAAGAGATAAATCGTAACAAGTTAAGACTTTCAGGTTAGGTTAGGGCTCTCAACGCTTAAAAAATATTAATATTTGACAAAAAACTACTGCTTGATTGCTCACCAAGTATTATCGATGAATATTTTTCTGCTAGCTTTCAACATGTGCTTCTATCGAAGGCTGTTCTAAGATGCAATTTTAAACATATGTTCCTATATACATTTTTTATTTTTATTAATTTTCATTCTATATTCACATTGAACTGTAATTGTATGACAGATATTATTTGCAAATGATATTTTAGATCTAGATTTTTGCTTAGATTCATGATTAACTTCCCTTGTGATAGCTTCACTTTTGAGAACATTGTTCTTCAGATAATAGAGCATATCTTGATTGATAGGATGATTGGGAATAATTTGAGCATTTTGACATTTCATCATTATTTTTTTTATTTTTCCATACTATAGATATATGTATTGTTAAGAACATACTTGGGTTTCAGAAGTCGTTCCAAAAATAACAAAAAAGTTTTGTTGAAGACTCATTTGAAAAGTATTTTTTGTTATGAAGATGATTGAGAGAGGTACTTAGTTTGTTCATTATCAAATAGAGAGTTGACTAAAAACGGTGAATTCAAACTCGAAAAGAGTTTGTTCTTGTTTTCAACTGGAACACTGTATTTTTATTATACAATTCATATCCCTGTGAAATGCGCTATATAAAAGTATGGAGTTATCTACCTAGTACTTCGGGTGAGTTATACCATGAAAACAGACAAAATATATTTGAGCAAATTTTATCGATCAAGTTGTTCGTCTCAAAAAGAGCATTTTGACAGAATATTTTTTCTAGAAAAAATGAAAAGATATGTTTTCCGTTTTTATATTTAATAATGAGAAGACAGCTAAAAAGATTTTTCCCAAAAAACTGATCTCTCCTTAAAAATTCCTATACCAATTAAATTTTTTTTCACCATTAAAAAGTAATTTGACTGAGATACTGGGTGATTCAATATTTGAAAATAATATTTTTCTTGTTTTTTGTCGGAAGTGCTAGAATCCACGTTTTATTTTTAGAGCACTTAGGCTTGAAATTTTTCGGCGTTCCTTAATAAACCTAGTTAACGATGTAAACTCTTTTGTAGATTATTTTCTCCTTGAGGATTTTCAATAATTTTTCTTCTTTTGGGATCAATAACATTTTGAAGATTGAGTGTCCTGGAGAGTTGATCACCTGAAAATCTATAATTTTGTCTCGAATTTATTTCAATCTGAAATTTGATCTTGAAGTTTTTGCTGGAGAAATTTTTTTTCAACTATTTTTGTTGTACTTTTCGATTCGCTACATATTTACCTATACAACTCCTATGAGGGGCTTCTCAAGAAGAAATCACATCTTGATTAAAATATAGTGTTCCATTCGAAGAAAAAAAATTGGTTTGGAAGTTTCGATTCACTCAGGATTTGTTTGTTTGAAGGTGGTTGATAATGTTTCATGGTGATTTTCTCTAGTTCGGACATCCATTGTCTAATATGTTTCTCCGTTAACCAGGTGTCGCACCCCTACGAACGACAACCCTCAAAAGTTGAAACTTGTGCGAGCTAAGGATTAATGAGGAAGTTGAGTAAAAGTTCGGGAGGTGACCACAAAAGTGTCTCTTTCTTCTTGGATAACTTCGAAAAATTGATCAATTTCATATAAAGGATGTTTGTTTAATATTTTCTTCAACAAGTTTTTGAATCTTCTAAATGGCAAGTTACGAAATTCGGCAGATAAGGCATTGTATAGCTTAATTCCTATATTATCTGTTCTTTTCAACCTATTAGCTGTAGGAACAAGATTTGATTTATTTCTTGTATCATGTTGGTGTATATCCTTGTGAGCAACTTCATTCAACAAGTTTTGTTGAACAAGAAGCAGATTTTNTAACATACTACAACATACACATAACATACACAATAATTGAAGTGTAGCAGCAAAATAATGGTTCTATAAACTGTAATTGGAAAACAAAAAAGCAGGGGGGTGAATTCTTGAGAAGAATATTTTGAGTGTCCAAAAGCTTTATTTCTTCAACTGTACAGTTCAAGGTTTCCATCACTTACTGTTATAACTGTGTCATCAAAAAATTAATAAACTCAATGTTATAAAAATGATGTTGATATAAATTGTTTCAAAAGCATGTTTGAATTCTAAGAACATAATCACTTTATATTCATTTTCATCAATTAATAGCTTCCATTTGAATATAGTTTTCTAAATATTCAAATTCTACCTAAAATGAAGATTTGAAATTAAATGTCACAGAAATAATATTAGCCTTTCTTTCTATTTCGACTCTAAGTGGATGTAACTCCTTTACGAGCCACAAGAAGATTCAACACTGGATGTTTCTTTATATAGCTCACTGCTTTCTTATGAGTCACCATTGTGAAGTCATATCCATTACACTGAAGGATTTTGTCATGGACTCGAAGTCCAGATCTTGAAGCCGGACTATCATCGTGCACTTCTGTGACATATATTCCATTATCCGTGTAGCCCTGAGGGCTTTTGTACCAGTCCTGGTCAATACCACCACCAATTTTGAAACCACATCGCATATTTTCGCCTTCCACTTCTTTATGCAGAGTAATTGGTATACTCAAACATTCCATTGCTGTTCCTGCCTGGTGTTGGAAAGCCATTTTAGCCATTTTAGATGAGTAAAAATTTAACTTTTCAAGGGGAATTAAAACACTGTCCTGGACTTTCCTTGATTAATTTCTAATGGTAACTACCAAATTAATGACTGGTCTGGTATAGTTATCACAAATCAGACTAGCTAGATAACACAGATAAATAGATAGGTATATTATGGAATGAGTAATAATGGAATGAGTAATATAATAATGAAAACACAATGTAAATATCAGACTTCCATACGACCTTGAAAAAAGTACTCAATGATTCATACCGATTAAGGTTATGTCGATGATTCATCCCTGGTTCCAGGGGTGCAAACATAAAATTTTCACTTTTGCTGGTACAAATCTCAAAATCCCTATATAAATGCCGAAATCATCAACCTCAAATTCATAGAAAACTTTACAGAAAAACTTTACAATAATCAACAGGACATACTGTAAACATTCAATTATATGAAAAAGAGCAAAGTAAATAATCCAGGAGGTTATTCTTCAGATGACATGTTAGCTTTTCAAATGCAGGGAAACGGAAAACCCCTGGTAATAAACTTATGACTCCACTTTTGATAAAAAATTATTCATTTTCTGCTGACGTTAACTTGGTTAGTGAAACGCGCTTCGGAAGTTTTTGTCCAAACGTGGACTGCGATTCCAAGAATTGCATTTACCATCAGATACCCTGTGAGTGCGGTAAATCTACGTCGGTGAAACTAAGAGGCCCTCGAAAGTTCGTTGCCGAGTACAAAAAACACACACAGCGAGGAGAAACCATAACATCAAGTGGTCCCAAATTGAGATCATTCACAGGGAGGAAAACTGGTTTAGGAGAAAATTCAAAGAA